ACTTACGGTGGTACTTACAGTGGTACTTACGGTGGTACTTACGGTGGTACTTACGGTGGTACTTACGGTGGTACTTACGGTGGTACTTAAGGTGGTACTTACAGGGGTACTTACGGTGGTACTTACGGTGGTACTTACGGTGGTACTTACAGTGGTACTTACAGTGGTACTTACAGTGGTACTTCTAGGTACTTCTAGGTACTTATTGTGGTACTTACAGTGGTACTTCTAGGTACTTACAGTGGTACTTAGAGGTACTTATTGTGGTACTTACAGTGGTACTTCTAGGTACTTATTGTGATAATTCTAGATACAGCTGTAACTTAGTAATTCAAGGACACTACAGTATTATTCCTATGTAGTAAATGTGGTACTTCTACATACATACATACAGAGGTCATTTGTAGGATTGTTTGACTATAAAACATAAAACAACATTATGTAAAACAAACGTCTTTATTAATATGGAATAAGTAGCACAGAAAGGACAGTATAAATACATTTAATGCATATTTCAAAACAAGTTTCAAGGACAAGGGAAACACTGCAAGAACTAGGTACCCAACCCAAGTAACAAGAATTACACATTACCAGGTACTTACCAGCCAAGTACCAGGTACTTACCAGCAAGTACCAGGTACTTACCAGCAAGTACCAGGTACTTAACAGCAAGTACCAGGTACTTAACAGCAAGTACCAGGTACTTACCATAGGGACTGGCCCATAATAAGACAAAGGACTTTAACATAAGTACCAGTGATAACACCAGTAATTATACAGTAAGTACCAGGTACTTACCAGCAAGTACCAGGTACTTACCAGCAAGTACCAGGTACTTACCAGCAAGTACCAGGTACTTACCAGCAAGTACCAGGTACTTAACAGCAAGTACCAGGTACTTACCAGCAAGTACCAGGTACTTGCTGGTAAGTACATGGTATACTATATAATTACTGGTATCACTAGTACTTATGGGTAAGTCCTTTGTCTTATTATGGGCCAGTTCCTATGGTAAGTACCTGGTACTTACTATATAATTACTGGTGATATCACTGGTACTTATGTTAAAGTCCTTTGTCTTATTATGGGCCAGTCCCTATGGTAAGTACCTGGTACTTACTGTATAATTACTGGTGTTATCACTGGTACTTATGTTAAAGTCCTTTGTCTTATTATGGGCCAGTCCCTATGGTAAGTACCTGGTACTTGCTGGTAAGTACCTGGTACTTGCTGTTAAGTACCTGGTACTTGCTGGTAAGTACCTGGTACTTGCTGGTAAGTACCTGGTACTTGCTGGTAAGTACCTGGTACTTGCTGTTAAGTACCTGGTACTTGCTGTTAAGTACCTGGTACTTGCTGTTAAGTACCTGGTACTTGCTGGTAAGTACCTGGTACTTGGCTGGTAAGTACCTGGTACTTGCTGGTAAGTACCTGGTACTTGCTGGTAAGTACCTGGTACTTGGCTGGTAAGTACCTGGTACTTGCTGGTAAGTACCTGGTACTTGCTGGTAAGTACATGGTACTTGCTGGTAAGTACATGGTATACTATATAATTACTGGTATCACTAGTACTTATGGGTAAGTCCTTTGTCTTATTATGGGCCAGTTCCTATGGTAAGTACCTGGTACTTACTATATAATTACTGGTGTTATCACTGGTACTTATGTTAAAGTCCTTTGTCTTATTATGGGCCAGTCCCTATGGTAAGTACCTGGTACTCACTGTATAATTACTGGTGTTATCACTGGTACTTATGTTAAAGTCCTTTGTCTTATTATGGGCCAGTCCCTATGGTAAGTACCTGGTACTTGCTGGTAAGTACATGGTACTTGCTGGTAAGTACATGGTATACTATATAATTACTGGTATCACTAGTACTTATGGGTAAGTCCTTTTTCTTATTATGGGCCAGTTCCTATGGTAAGTACCTGGTACTTACTATATAAATTACTGGTGTTATCACTGGTACTTATGTTAAAGTCCTTTGTCTTATTATGGGCCAGTCCCTATGGTAAGTACCTGGTACTTACTGTATAATTACTGGTGTTATCACTGGTACTTATGTTAAAGTCCTTTGTCTTATTATGGGCCAGTCCCTATGGTAAGTACCTGGTACTTGCTGTTAAGTACCTGGTACTTGCTGTTAAGTACCTGGTACTTGCTGGTAAGTACCTGGTACTTGCTGGTAAGTACCTGGTACTTGGCTGGTAAGTACCTGGTAATGTGTAATTCTTGTTACTTGGGTTGGGTACCTAGTTCTTGCAGTGTTTCCCTTGTCCTTGAAACTTGTTTTGAAATATGCATTAAATGTATTTATACTGTCCTTTCTGTGCTACTTATTCCATATTAATAAAGACGTTTGTTTTACATAATGTTGTTTTATGTTTTATAGTCAAACAATCCTACAAATGACCTCTGTATGTATGTATGTAGAAGTACCACATTTACTACATAGGAATAATGCTGTAGTATCCTTGAATTACTAAGTTACAGCTGTATCTAGAATTATCACAATAAGTACCTAGAAGTACCACTGTAAGTACCACAATAAGTACCTCTAAGTACCACTGTAAGTACCTAGAAGTACCACTGTAAGTACCACAATAAGTACCTAGAAGTACCACTAGAAGTACCACTGTAAGTACCTAGAAGTACCTAGAAGTACCACTGTAAGTACCACTGTAAGTACCACCGTAAGTACCACCGTAAGTACCACCGTAAGTACCACCGTAAGTACCACCGTAAGTACCACCGTAAGTACCACCGTAAGGACCACCGTAAGTACCACCGTAAGTACCACCGTAAGTACCACCGTAAGTACCTAGAAGTACCACTGTAAGTACCTAGAAGTACCACTGTAAGTACCACTGTAAGTACCACTGTAAGTACCACCGTAAGTACCACCGTAAGTACCACCGTAAGTACCACCGTAAGTACCACCGTAAGTACCACCGTAAGTACCACTGTAAGTACCTAGAAGTACCACTGTAAGTACCTAGAAGTACCACTGTAAGTACCATGGACTTACCGGCCCGTAATGTAAAGTGTTACCATGATATTTTGTAATAAGTGGAAGAGTGCCTATTGTGGTTTGATTTGATCACATAATTGTACAAAATATTACGGTTGGGACAACAAAAATTAAGGAAGGATGTCTAATAGTTGGTTCCTAGATATGGCGTTTTAGTTCTCAAGATGATTATCCAATCAGAAATCACAAAGAGCCTCAGATGAGTCTCCCAGTTGGAGTGCCTGAAATCCATTCTAATGTCTCCCTCACTCTCATGCCTAAAGATACATAGTTCGGCCACACTTTTACAGCTATTTGTCTTGTATTGAGTGCACCTTTTATTCCTAATGTTCTGTTATGTGCCCTGCAACACTGCCATTTCCCCACTGTGGGGCAAAAAAAGATTTTCTTATTTTACTGTTGCTGTCTCCCTCCGAAATCTAGAAATTCAACGTTTCTGGGAAATGTTTGGTGATTTATTGATAAAGATATAATATGCTTTTGCTTATTTTTTCAAGACATTTGGAGCTCTGAAAATTTCTAGGACAAAGAGGGCTACTATAATCAATTACAGAAATGTTGTGGGAAGCCATCGCTGTCCTGGATTTTGGAGGGTTAATAAATTGACATTTTCAAATATCCACAGTATTCTATTTACTTTTTATTCACTTATTTGTAATTCGTAACTTTCTGCTCAAAGATATAAATTATCACGTTGTTGAACACATTAACAAGACTGATGAGTTTCAAAGCTTTCGAATTGTGAATGTTGAATCCAGCTGCAATTGGTGTTTTGCACGTTTTAATTGGAACTAATTAGGCATTAATTGTTTATTTGTAGTTAATGGATGGTATTATTGTAACATAAAAGCATAATTGCCGGATGTGGAGGTGTGTTTAGAGCTTGGTTAGCTGTGCCTGTGCTTTGGTTACGGTGCCCTCTTCATGTGTGCACGGGTGAGTGGCTTTGTTTCCATTATCATCAGTGCTCTCATCATTTGTAAACGAATGCTAACGTTCTCCTGGGTTTTATCAGCGCTGACACACGCAGACTGGCTAATGAAAAAAAAGGCCTTTGGGAATAAGAAGTTAGTTTAACGTTAGCTTTTATTGCTCCTCATAATGCTAATCACGGCCATTATTATGCTGAGGGGCGGCGGTGTGTGTCTTAGTTGTTAAAGGCACCACTCACGCACACACGTTTATGGAAATGACCCTGGTGTGTAGAACTGTTGTGTTCTGCATTGTAGCTCAGCCAATGGCTAACAACCGCAGCGGGAAATTAAAAACCATAAATTCTCCTCAGTGTCGATAGCAGCTCATATAAGACCCTCGCACGGCACACAGCCCATTGTCACCGGGAGTCCAGCGGAGAGCTAAGAGGACCTCATCAACAAAACTGTCCACATAAAAGAATAGGCTGCAATTATTCACAAAAACAACTTTTTAATTTGTTAAAAATCGGATGATCGGTTTTCAAATCCAAAACCTTGTTGCTGTGGGTATAATGTTGTATATATGTTATTATGTTTCACTTTTTAAACCTTTGCAGACACCCTGTCCTGAATTGTTCTACAGGGATGTCAAAGTCAAATATATCAGAGGGCCAAAAACATTTTTTTGCTAAAAGCCAAAGGCCAGACTGTTTCAATGTTTACTAAAACCTATTAAGATGATTACATATAACCCATTGAACCAAGACCGTATTTTAATGATTAAATGAGTAATTTGTCAATAAAAACATTTTTCAACAGGCTCACAGACAAAAACAAACTTCCTTCAGAGTGAAAACACATGTCCTGAACTTTAAATGAATACTCCAATATTTCTTATGGCTCTGTGTGGGCCGGTTCTAATAAAAAATACAATTCTAAATATGTTGTTTGTTGTAGTTGTGATTCATAATTTAATCTCAAAGTCAATAATATGATGCATTTCTTACTTCATTCACATCATATCTATTTCTTGACGTATTTCTTCTGTTTTCAGATGAAGGCTTCCTCAGATGGAGATGATGACGACGACGATGATTTTGATGAGGTCCCGGAGAAGGAGGGCTACGAGCCGCACATTCCAGAGCACCTCCGGGCAGAGTACGGTGCGTTTTCATTTAGGGAGAGTCGTGTGCTTAGATCCAACCTGCTGACACGCTGTAAATAAAGAGGTTATACTACTAAGAGACGACCTGCTGCAGCTCTAATCCTGTAAGACTCACGCAGTCACTCAAAACAAACACACACACAGACAGCCTTCAAAGCCTGGGCAGCTGCGGAGAGTCAGAGGAACCTGCTTCCTGAAGTCCAATACAACAGACAAGATTAGATGAAAACCGCATGTTGGGGGCTGATTTCTTACTTACTTTCAATGGACTATTTCTGATGGACAAAATACATTTATTGAATATGAGAAAAAAGAGCTTTGTGTCCCAGCTTTAATTGTGGACATAATATCATGGCTGAGCAGATTAGGAAATAAAATCCACATACAAAGTGATTATAAAACATAAGGCCTGTACTGGTCTGGGGGTGATAACTATTTCATTTGATTGTCTAAAAAATGAATGCAGGTGATGAAAAATTATTGAAACGTGGATGAACAGTAGTCTCTTGTTTGACAGAAAAGTGAAAAGTGTCTTTCTGTTACAATGACAGCATTTGGAACTAGCATCACAGTACACTTTATGTGTCTTACTTCCGATTCCGGCTTAGGCTCCCATATTTGTTTGCAGCTGATTTGGGGACACGTGCGCTCTCTGTAATGGAGACAAATAGTTTTTTACCCCGAGTGTTTACTCCGTGTATCTGTGATGGATTTTGCCCTGTCAACGCATCCATTTACCTCCACTCTCTCCTATAGCCAGCAATGTATGATTGACTGTTGAAGCGCTGTTTCTACTCAGGGACGAGGCGGCATTGTATTCCCTGTTGTATGGATCGCTTTTAGCCTCCGGGGCCGTGCGCTAAGGCGAAAGGTCAAACGCTCTGGTCATTTAACAGGCGAATTCTCTTGGTATTGCACTGTCAGCTCCAAAACAACATCTTTTTTTTTAAATCATTGTAATTTGAATGATGTTAATATCATTATGAGCGACTATATGTGTAAGCTCCGGGCTATAGAGGATACGAAAGCTGCCTCTCTCAGCAGCAGCCGCCATTACAATGTGCATCACTCATATACATTCATTTATGGCGTGTGCGTTTAGTTTATGTGTATGTTCTTACTGTGAATGCGCGTGTTAATGATGCCATAACCCAAACATGCTGTTGACAGTGCTGTTTTCGCGCTACCATGCTCCAACCTTTGACCCCTGGCTCACTTGTGCACTCCCCGCTGGCTTCCTGAGTCATTACACCCAGCACAAGAACAGCTTTACCTGCAAACCTCTCTCTCCTCCCACCGCACACCCTCCATTACTAATCAATTAGACGCTAAAGTAATTAGATAGTATCTGATGTGCCAAAACAGCCGTGTGTGTGTTGTCAGGGTGATTAGTGGGTTAGGTAATGATCTACAGAGGCCAAACCAAATTAACAATGCAACCTTTTTAATGAGCCCCTATTAGCCTTGCACCTACTTTTTTACCACACACTTTGTTGCAGCCAATACATCCTACTTCTGGATGTTTATTCCATTATTCAATCATTGCACAAATTATGCAGTTGACAAGCATTATTCTTGGTTTACCAAAGACATATTCTGAGCATTGATTCGGTGACAACACATGATCTGATTGAGGCGCTGGCAAAAGCTGTGTTCTCTATGATCTGACCACACAAGAGGAATATAGCTGGGAATATAGATGAATACAAGATGATTATAAAATTGCACTACATTAAAGACAAATTGATCTCAGTGGGGCGGGTCCTGGCTCAAAAGTGGCCAAAATGACGTGCGCTGACATGCTTGCAATACCACCCCGGGCCGATGGGGGTGGACAATATAATAGATCAATGGGGTGGACCCGGAATAAAAATTAGCCAATGCTATCATATAGCATCTTCTTACCTCTCGAAAATACCTTTACAGGATGGTCCAAAAGTTGGCTCTTGGCCCAAAACTCCGTTCCACATGTGTGTCAATGCTGAGGGCAGTGGATTTTTGGACCAGTCTACTTTAGTCGCTGTGAATTTTTGAAGACACTCGTTTAAATGAATGGGGCTCGTGCCGGCTGACGCATGCGCGGATGCGCATTTTCACATTTTCCAGCCCCCGCGGCCATTTTGAATCACTCCATGAAAGCCCAATTTTTTGCCTATTAGTTAGAACGGCAGAGATAGAGATTAATATATACAGTCTATGATTAATCTTTACATTTCATTCAAAGTAGCACCCTATAATAATACATACAACAGAAACCTCCCCACACAATAAATGCAGAGAAGACCCCACTGTAAATACTTCTGCATGCATGTTTTAATGGAACAATGCGAAACACGTTGGGGACCCATCTCCAGTTGGTAATGCAGAATGAAGAATCATACAAAATAACAGAAGGGATTGAACGCTTGACCTTCTTGCATTGAAGCATGAGCGCTACCCATCAGCTCCTTGTCAAAGAAGTTGTGTACCAGCTGTAGTTGTTTAGTTTAGTCGGTAATTGCGTTTGCCCAGTTACCCATAGATTGTTGGTTCAATCTACCCATATTACCAAACATCCAATCCAGTCCAATCTTTATCTAAATTGGACCAGAAATTCCCCTTTTTATATTCACCCAAAATTGTACATAAGTAATTAGTAAGTGCTAAAGTTGAAGACACAAAACGACTGGTATCACATGATTTGGTTTAATTGGGACACTACTCTAAAACTGTGATGCTCTACCACTGCCTCCCTGTCCACTCCTGTCCTTTTCTCCATTTTGGTCCCTGTCCCGTTGTCATCCTCATTATCAGGCCTCTTATCCCCCTCTCTGCTGTCAGGACACTATCTCTCTCCTTCTCAAATTAACATTTTAATTACAGGCCCTGCTTAACCCTAAGAAATCAATACAGCTTTCAGCCTTTTGCTCTTCTTCTTTGCCTTGAGCGCTTTCTCTCCAATTCCTCTTTTTAGAAACCCGACAGTCTTAAACACACCAATGCAAAACGCTTTGACCACGGTTTTCCGATCAGGAGTCTAGAACATTTGTAACATCGCAAGTCCATTAAAGTTATATTTGAGCTTTTTATAGGTTACTTGCTACAGGGATGCTATTGCTTTTCTTGGAATATCCCAAATGATGCTGTTGGACTCATTTATCTCGATTCAGATAAGGATATAAGAAATTCAATTTAAATAAGAAAGGCAGAAAGATGTACTATAGTAAGCATAAGCACTATATTGTTACAATTAGTGGCATCAAGTTATGAAATAGAGGTTCCGAGAAACTAAAGCAGTAACATTTTGCACAACTCTTGCCATAAAGAATGTTTCCTTTCTTGTTTTGTTAAGCGCTTTGAGTTGCTGTGTGTATGAACTTATAATGGATTGAAAGATGAAAAAATAATGTAGTTATTTACTTGATGCTGGCAAGATTGTATTGTATCCAGTGTTGTTAACATCAGCAGTGCATACAAGAGTTTCCAATTATTTAAATCCAAACTTTTTATCTTCATCAACGCACTCTTTGATGCTGTGAATAATCTATGCGATCAGTGTTGGCAGGTCTCAGTTTACCGCTCCCCTCTGATCACACCTGCAGTTGGGTTCATTCCACTTAAGCCTTTGAAACACACTGCTTTACCCCCTCCATGGCCACACACACACACACACACACACACACACACACACACACACACACACACACACACACACACACACACACACACACATATTTTAAAATTCAATTATGTAGATTTTTTTTGTTTTTTGCATTATGCACATAAATTACAAATACAAAAACATCCTTAATGTTATGTTATTTTACAGAACACATGATTCTTTGTAAAAACAAAATAGTGGACAATTTAAAAATACTCTTTGTCCAACCTTGATATTAACTTTCTTAATTCCAAAGTCTTCACATTTATCCATGCATCCATTTTATTTTACAGGTTTGGATCCTTCACCATCTACCTCTTCTGCACCAGTCACAAAACCAGTTCCTGTCAAGCGACCAGCAGCCCCTCAGCCTCCCGCCTCTACCTCCTCCTCCTCCTCTTCTTCTTCTTCAAGAGAACTAAAAAGACTCAGGGAAGAGGAGCAAGACCCGACCTCAGCAGCAGCGACAATACGCTGCCTCAAAGATAAAATCACTCTCCCAACTGAGGCCAGGTAACTCTCGATTTGGCATTGTGAAAGGACTTCACTTGTTTGATGTTTCTGGATGTTTTGTCCGTTTTGTTACAGTAGCTACACAGAAGCTACTGCGTCTAAGTCCAAATCTGATAAGAAAGGAAAGGACGCTCCTGTGGTTCCCTTCGGTTTAGATATCTACTACTGGGGCCAAGAACAACCCACTGCTGGCAAGATCATCAAGTAAAAGCACTTCTCATATGTTGTCTACTGGGATGCATAATGTGTCTGTGAGGTCTAAAGAAACTATTCACAAATGTTCTGTAGGTCAGCCTCCCAGCATCAGTTCTGGGTGCCAGTGGAGACGGAGGAGGAGGTGGAGAACAAGGAGCTGGCAGCAGAGAGCCGCAGCCGCTACATCTCCTTCCCTGGACGCTTCACTCCAGTCAGCCACTTCTGCCAAGCTCCACTGGGCAATGGGAAACTGTGCCAGAGACAAGACAGGGTTAAGGTGACAAGAATTTATAATAACAGGCATTTAGTTTGTTTTTAAGGTTTAGTTTGTAAAGTAAATTTTGACTGGAGTGAATGCCAACGCCCACATGGGAGACCATCAACCCCTAAATGTTCAAGTATAGATAAGTTATTTAAGGTCTTGGAAAAGTTGGGGGTTGGTTTTGGAGATGTCCTGGAAAATCCTGTAACGTTAAACCAATGTTGCACGTTACAAGAAGACGATATTGGAAATAACATATTTGTGTTTAACAAAATCAGATACTTGTTGATACTTAGATGTAGGTTAGCGTAGTTGTCAAAACTGGGAGTAAATGTGTGACTGTGTGTTATCCAGTGCCCTTTCCATGGACTGATCATTCCACGGGACAAGGATGGGAAACCTTGTAAAGCAGAGGACAGACGGAGGGAGGAGCAGGAGGAGCTGAGGAGGAGGGAGGAGCAGCCTGGTAAGATCTGCTTCACATAATGATGCCAACAAGTATTTGGGACATATTCCAAATATTGTGCCATTAAACAGAAAGTGTGGCATTAGCAAAATAATACTGAACCATCCTGGAGCTTTATGCTGTGTAGAGTATCGCCACAGAAGACCACTTTCACTTTCAAACTTTAAACTCGACCTTTTGACTGGCTACAGTACACACAACACATAATAATTTAGTGTTTTAAAGTAATAAATGACCTGACTGGGCTCAAAGCAACGAACTATAAAAGGAAAACATTGTTCGCTCTATTCACAATATGCAATAATAAGTCTGGTGTCTGTTGTTTGTTCTCTGTCCTGTCTTTTTTTATGTCAATGGACCATATGTGTCCGAAATAACGCTTAATAATAATATTAGACAGTGGTAAAATTGGTTAAAAAAATCAGTTTCAAAAGATTCAAACAGAATCAGTAAATTTGTTGAACATAATGCAGTGGTTTAGCAATATATCTTTCTTATCCATCCTTCTCGTTGCAAATATTCCCGGCATTGTGTTCATAAGCATTTTTCACTGCTTTCAGAGACCAATGTTTATTATGGCTGTTAGCAAACAAAGCTAGTCACCCCATTCAATATTGTGAGCTGCTTTTCTACTCTCTCTATCTGCACTGGTTCATATTCATACATTTTGCTCAACTACACTGAGTTTAGTACATTGTGTTTAGTGCGCTCCGTAATGTGGCATGTCTGTGTGTGGTGAGAGGTTTGAGTCTGCAGGATGTCCAGCGACTGCCTGCGGGGCCTTGTTAACGCCACCTCTGTGTGATTGTCACCGTCTGTAAGTGTTTGTGGAGCCCTGGCACGCAGTCCACTGAATTGTGAAATAGCATCTTTTGTTACCAAGTACACTATCGATCCAAGAGTCAATCTCACACCTAGACACACACACACAGACATACACACACACGCACATACAGACCCAAATCAATCTCACAGCAGGAGCGGGGCAGTGGCCTGAGTGAACCCATGAACCAGCGCGCTCACCTCTTCTACCTCTTTAGCGTGGCAAATACAGTAGCAGCAAGACACTCAATGAAAACTGATGAGCAAGTTTGGTAAAGTTGTCAATGCGTAAAAGTCAAAACTACTTTCATATATTTATCTTCTTTGTATTTTTCTACTTGGCCAGCAATAGTAAATTGATCATGTTTAGCTAGTCAACACATATATACATAATAGTTAGTGGTAAAAGTGGCATTTTTACAGTATTCCTGGAATGGCACAGCTAGTAGTTCTCTGTATCAGCACACGCTGAACAGAAAAAAGGTTCCAACACATTGAAATAATTGACACTTTTGTGGAGAATTTTTTTATGTGACTTTTGTTTTTTGGGGCCTGCCAAAATATGCCTTCAATCATTATATTGAATCTTAATGTACATTAGACATAATCATTTGACTTCAAATCAATGATGTGGTAAAATGTCAAAATCGTAAAATTGGGGTTGGTTTAAGATGATTTTTTTCTCTCTGGTTCCGCCGAGGTGTCTACAAGATCAGCGTGTTTCCAGAAATAGTCCAACAATATTTAACAATGTCGCCGCCTGTACAATATTTTTCCAATCGGTTTGGGGTAAACAAAATGGATATGGAACTTAAATATAAGCTTATTTCCTTTAGCAATTCCAACTAACCAATTTCACTTACTTACAGATTTACTTGACTTTTTTTTAAATGCGTTTTACCCAGCCCTAGGTATCATACTTTAACCATGAAAGAGACAGAGTTGTGGAATTTATTTTTCAGGTGGGTCCTGGACCTTATTGTAAATGTTAAGGTAATGAAATCCACACTTTTCTAGTCCAACACGTGGAATTAGTAGATTACACAAATACATTTCCAGTAATTTGTGTCCTATTTTTTCCCTTTTACAGTGTTTTGCTGATGTAGTGGGAAGGACACTTTTCTCTTTTATAATCAGCGAGCATTGATTTTATTGATTGTTGTCGTGTGGTTTAGACAAACTCAATGGAATCTCTCCTGAGTTGTCATCATCTTCTCTACGAACAAGTTTTATTCTGTACGTTTTATAGAGGTGTTCATTTATTATTGTGTACAGTATTTTCTGTTTATACTGATCACATTTTTTGTTAGATTATGCAATCCCTGAATAACAATAACATAATGACAAACCCTACTTAAAATCAACAATGTGGAGTAAAAATAGTTGATGGACATCTGAATTAACCATATTCAATAAAACCCGGCTTCAAATGCCTCTTGCACACACACACACGGACGCACGCACACACGCACACAAACACACACACACAGATCCAGGGACCCAGCTGGAGCGGCTAAGAGGTGTTGACGGAGAAAAGAGCCCTGCTGCAGCACTGATTACACTGAAAAGACTCTGGCCTTTTCTCATTTCTCCTCTCGTTTTGGTCTGATTTCTTATCACCTTTTTCAATTTTCAATCTTTTACTTTTTCTTCCCTAAAATACTGTATGAGAGCCCCTTCCTGCTGGTTTTCCCCAAACTTACTCACACCTTGGATTGTGCTAGAGTCAACCTTTGATCATTATTTCACATTTATTTCTTTATACGCACTATTTTGCTGTAATTAAAGCAGGGGTACCTGACTTATTTTATTTATAATACATAACACATATTGTTTCCCAACAGAAAGAGTCTTGTAAGAAAAATGTGAACAAATCAGACCATAACATGTCGTCTACCATCCATCTTATTTGGAAACATGTTATCTTTTGCATACTTGTAAGAAAGAGTATATTTGACACTTTGAGCTGGGAGCTGATTGGCTGAGTTGAGGGTGAGGCTTGCTTTTTTCACTTTTCTGTCTGGAAAAAGCTTATGTGGCAAAAATACATGCATGGAAAAACTAGTGATGGAACCAAACTGTGTCAGAACGAGGAACTCAGGGATTCCCTTACTTTGTTCCATTTTGTGCGGTTTGAAAGTCGAGTACACCAGCTTTAATGCCCCGTAATAATAAGAAACTGCTAATTGGGAGACCTTATACTTGCATTCTGTAGCAACAGTGGATTGTCATTGGCTATGTGAACATTTTAACACAACATATTGTTCCTAATCGTTTGAATAATTATCAAGTCACTGCTCACAAATGCCAACTACGTTTGACCAGGTGTGTGTTGTTATTGGTCAAACTTCATCAAAGGCACAAGTTGCAAAAATCCCGCGGACAGATACACCAACAGACTACAAAAAGCAGCTGTGCCGTTTTTAGCAGTAATGATTCCCCTAAACACGCCAGCTGCTTCTCAATTACGGCCTTAGCTGGGTGTGTAATGAGGGCTAGTTGAAGGTCCAGTCAGAGCTGGGGTCATAGCGGCTGATTAAGGGCCCCTACACGCACACACTGAGGGGGGGGGGCATGTTTTGACAGAGTGGTGGACCCCGCTTCAATCCCGTCACAATCACAGTGTAATTACTTTGCATTACGGCAGCTTTATCTCTAATTCCACCAGGGTACGTCATTAACCAGGAGTGTCTCTTCGTTTAGACCGTCATTACTCTGCATTACAACCACTTTTGCCTTTATCGCCCTGTATTATGACATTACACTTTTCATTAACACCACAGTTGGTTCCCAATTGGCCTGTGGGACACACTGTTTACGCCTCTGTAAAACTGACATTACGAGCTCATTTACTTTATCAACTCTAATTACTTCATTAGAGCTAAACTACTATTGTCTAAGCATCAATTCAAAACTTGACAAATAAAATAGTAAGTTGTGTAGGGCAAGGTATAGACGAGACATGACAATAAAACATAGCATTGTACTATTTGGACAATTTTCAATGAAGGGCTATAGCTCATTTACACAATAGTGGCGAATTGAATATAATATGTTAAAATAATGTTAAAGTGGTGTATCTGCATTGTGGATGAAATGTTGTCAATGCTTGAGTGTGGCAGGATTGAATAGTTATGAAGTTAGTATAATTTACTTTAGGGTTTCAGTGACAGGATTGGGATTAAAGTTGAGGTACCTAACTTTTTTCCCCATAATATTTTTGTTGTTCCAGAAAGAATCTTACAAATACAATGCTCGAAAAGAATCCAGATAACATGCAGCCCTGTGAGTTACTATTTGACGCTATGGACTGAGAGCTGAATAACTGAGTGAGGGTAGTTCTCTCTTTTTCAATGTTCTGTCTGAAAAGGCCAAAAATACATGTGTGTGACAACTATTAATAGACCTTAACCTTTTTGAGTTAGTTATGTATGAAATAGTTATATTTGTGTGGTCTGAAAGTTGGATAACACGGTAAGGATTATGGTAAGAAAATGTTGTGGGTGAAATCACATGTTTGTGGATGTAAAACCTTTTTTTATTAGCCCTTAATTTCATTTTTCCATTCAGTAAATTAAAATAACAAAACACTTCTGCCCCTTTGCACCCAACACTGTGTGCAAATTAGACAATTTTCACATTATTTTCCTCAAAGAAAGTCATAACATGTCTCCCATCACTTGCACTTTCAGATACCCCTAATGAATTGATGAACTTACTGTGTGTGTTTTTGTGTAGATTGGCGAGACCCGGAGTTGATGCGAGACATTGAGGCAGCCACTGGACACGACCTGGGCTCGAACAGAGTGGGAAAGAAAGGCAAAGGCAAAGGGAAGAAGAAGAAGTTCCCAAACCTCAGTGACCTCAAGCAGAACGCCAACACATCACGCTCACGGCTCGAGAAGAAGGTCTTCAACAAGTGCGTAATGCTAAACTCTGCCAATCAAGACCACATACATAACCTGTTATTATTCACGCCTCAGTTTGTCGTAGAACTGCTTACCAACTTTTTCTTTGTCCACATTTCATTTTTGAAAACCTGTTCCGAATTTACCTAAAATAAGACATTATAGAAGCCTCTAGTTATTCAGTCTTTGAATGGTGTCTTAAAGCTGGGGTACCTACTGAAGAAGATGACATGTCTGGGATCGCGTCTTACATTCAGACAGAAGACATGTTTTATTGTCAATGGTAGAGACAGCACGAACAAAGCACACGATCACAGATACAAGAGAATGCAAGTGTATTATACAGAGCGGAGGCATGGAGACCTCCAATCAGCAGCTTCTACGGGGTGCTTGTAGCTTGGCCTTCAGATAGACAAAACAAGGGAAAAGTACTGGCTTCTGCACATTGATAGAATGATGAGTTTAACTTTAACAAAAGTTGCTTCAAAGTGTTATGAAATCTCATACTACCTTTCTTTGTTTCATAAGTTACACATGAGCAAGTATTGTAAAAGCAAGAAAGAGCCCTGTGAGTCACCAGTTGACGTTTTGGACTGAGAGGGTATTAGCTCTCACAAAGCTGATCTAAATACTTGACAGCGGCCAAAAAATACTTGAATCAAACTGTTTGAGAGCAAGGAACTAGATAATGGTTCCATGTTTGTGTGGTTTGAAAGTCAAGTACCCCAGCTTTAAATGGAACAAACTTTGTATTTGTCTGCTAATAATACTCCTATTGTTACTTCAGATTGTATGTTAGAATATAAGAAGCAAATGCAAGGTGATTGTCTGCCTTTCTCTGTCTGTTGAGTTTAGAAATGAACAAGGCTGAGATTCAGAAAGTTTTTGAGGGCTCCATTTTTAGAGATATTTATTTTGTTGACTAATGTACAGAACTATACATCATGTTCATTCTATTATTCCTTCCCATCCCCTTTGTAAGCAGAATTACTGTAAATGTTTCTGTGTTGCTTCTTTGTTGTTCATTTTGACCGTGGAGTTGAATGTGAATATGTTTTCTTACGTTATTTCTTTGTGCCCAGGAGCTCCATGCGCAGAGTGGCTGAGGTGATGATTAAATCAGACATGAGAAAACACGACAAGTTCTCCAACCAGTTCAACTACGCTCTCAAATGAACTCAGGCAATTTTCTGACACTCGATGAGAAGGGGGGGTAATTTTTATTTATTGGGGGATGAATGTGTAAAATAGACTTTTGTGCATTAATTACCATGTTTCATGTCTCTCTCCGTTTACTACTCAGGAATGTAGCTCAGGTCAATATGAATGAAAATCCACTGAAACAATTAATAGTTAAAGTCAATTGATGTGTATTTTTTAGTTGGCCTTTGTCAATTTAGTTTTATTATTTAATTTATCTGTAATCTACATATGCCATAGGTTTACATTAAGTCAAAAAATATTCCTATCTAACCATGCATTTATATGTTGTATTTCTAGTCACAATTGATTAATAATGTATGATGTAGCTAAAATTATAAATGTTTGAATAAAATATTGTTACTCTCTTTTAAATACACTGCCTGTCTACAAATCTGTTTAGTCTCTGTGTGTTAGTAAGGCTGATCACTGAGGGGAACACACTTCATCACACATAATTCACCAAAGTGTGATGAGTGTGTTTTGTGTTGGCACAACTATTATCTTTGATCCGAGGGGTTTATGAAGTGCAGTTCAAAGACACAGGACTTTTATTGATGTCTGTATTTTAATATCAAATATGAAATGTAAACTGATCATACTCAACATCCAAGAATTTGATGTTAAAATGTTCAATAAATATGACAAAAGATCAAATTAACAGTCAACGCTGTAATTAGTTACACAGTACTTACAATAGATCAAGCAATTCCTGAAGTCATAAATAATTATTTGATATTCAATATTTTAACTTTTAAAAGAAAAACAAACTATTTTAATCAAAAGAGCATTCATATGAGCTAGAGCAGCTATGTACAGGTCCTGGTGAATATCCACATTCTATCAAAATAATCCCTTTAAACAAGAGGCTTGAACAGTACAAAGGAGTCTTTAGCGCAGTCACAGGTGTGTGCTGTAGAAGGCCGGTGCTGCGTAGCTCTGTGTCCCCAGCATGAAGGGCGACAGCACGTGGCTGGCTGTTAGGAAGGGCAGCTGCACCAGGCCTCCGGTGGCGGGGTGGTGGTGCCCCCCGTAGCCCGTGTGCATGGTCAGGTGTCCGCTGACTGGAGGAGAAGGGCTGAGAGGACTCAGGCTGCCCAGGCCTCCTGCTCCCCCTCCACCGCCTCCTCCAGTAGGAGCTGACGTATCGGCCCCTGGGTTCTGCTTCTTCCACTTGGTGCGGCGGTTCTGAAACCAGATCTTAACCTGAGTCTCTGTGAGGGACAGGGACAGGGCCAGGTTGAGGCGCTCGCACACGGAAAGGTAACGTGTGGACTTGAACTTGTTCTCCAGAGCCACCAGCTGCTCGTAGGTGAAGGCAGTCCGCGCTCTGCGGGGCTTCCCAGACTTAGAGTCTGAGCCGGAGCGCTTCCTCTTGGGTTTGCCCTGTGTACCCTGAGAGCCGTTAGTTTGACCGTTGGACATGTGTCCTGATGGGCTCTTGTCTCTTGCCTCTTGGCTCAGCTCAGCATCTCCATTGTTCAACACAGAGCTGCTTTCTTCACTGCTGTACGCCCCATCAGCTGCTTCAGAGTCTGGGGTCCCGGAGCGCTGATAGTCCTCGTCTTCTGCAGCGCGGTACACAAAGCTGTCCTCTGCACACACATTCACACACATCAGTGCTTGACTCAGGTCACAGTGCCCAGGGTAAGTCCTCTCTCTAATGTATATGTTTAAACATGAATGAAATATTGAACACGTTTTGTGTCATTTAGAATTGAAAAGAAAAGAAAAAATCAGAACTATAACAACTCTTCGAGTATAAGTATTATTGTGTATTAAGTATTATTTATTTGTTCTATTTCCCTTGTCAAAATTGTTTTGATACTGATTTAATATTTTTTGCATAATAATGTTTTTATTTGTGGCAATAAACAAAATACCAGGAACGGGTTCTAGCATAATTGGGCCAAACTATAATGATATTTATTTAATTATGAAATATATGAATTTACCAATTCAAATTGTGTTTACTTAGGTGTGGCGTTTATTTATTATTTATTTATTTTGCAAACACAAGGTTTAAAAAGATTATATTCAAAGCAGATTAAATTATGTGAGTCACTAGAAGGAGTAAAACTTTAAAACTAATGATGCTTTATGACAGATCTGTCTATTTCAGGAAAACAGGCCTACAGCGTCTGAAGCCAACGCGCGCAAATTGGTGTGCGTTGGCTATTTGATGACATTGTGTGTGTAATTATGACCATGATGAAGTATTTAATCTAAAATATACTTTGTAAAGAAACTAAACATGTTTCTTCATGCTTGGTGTGTGTGGAATTAAAATAAAACAATGATCAATAGAGTTTCAGAGTCGGACTACGCCTCGGAAACTCCGTTGCTCCAGGACGCAGTGCGTCTGTGGTTGTGAATGTGTTGTGTGCCTGCTCTGTGGTTGCATAGTTTAAATGTGTTGTGTGGTTGTTTAAAGTGAACATAAGTTGTGTACTTACTGCAGCTGAAGTCCTCTGTGCTGAAGCCCTTGCGCTCCGCAGGTTCCATGGCCTCCCGCTCCGCGGTCACGTGCCTCTTGTCCGCTCCGCACGCGCTCAGCTCGGGCTCGTGAGGCGGCACGCGGCGGCAGCTCGTGAACTTGTTTGGGTCCAAAATGTCCAGCACCGAGAAAGACGTGGTGCGGTGCGCCGCGCAGGGGCCCTGCGCAAGAAAACGCTCAATCAGCCAATATCCTGCAGCATCAGCCTAAATAAACCTGGACCATTACACGTGAAAGGAAAATAATAAAACACTTTTTCAGAGCAATTCTTTGTATTTTATTCCCCTTTAGAAGCTAATTGGCTAATATTAAAGGGATGATAGCAAATAGGGAAGGCCTATCAATAATATTAACAGTCATTAAAAATATTATTAGTAGCAAGAGGACATTATTATCATTATAATAATAATAATTATTATTATTAGGCCATTAGTATATAATATATAATTATATTATAATAATATTATTTATAATAGTAAATACACACAAATAAAAAAAATAGCCCCAATGTTTAATTGAGATAAATTACAACATGAAAACGTAGATATGAGATAAAATAACAACTCTCTGTAAAGAGATATGGCTGCAGTGTAATGCTGAAGTGCATTCAGATCCAAATAAAATGGCTCCGCATAAACATTCGTAAATAATTAAGTAAATAAGTTTTAGCCTTTACAATGTTTTGCACACATTTTGTTATCAGCCTTCGTAACAGCTGTAATTTTAAACACGAAAAGTACAAGGAGATTTTTTTTTTCTCAGACCAAACATTTTCCAAGTGCAGCCTATTAGACAACTAAGTGTTCTACGTGCGCCTTTTTCCCCTTTTGAATTTCTTCATTATTCTTTTGGTCGTATAATAGGCTGAACGTGCATTCAATCTCTCGAATTACAAAAATGACTTCAACTGAGGCTAAATTCAAATTTCACATGTTTTCTCTCATGATAAAGTTATGTTTTTCGCACGTGCTTTCTCACGACACACGAGTGGACCTATACCTGCTGCGGCGGCACCAGCGCGGGGCTTGTGGGGTGATGGTCCACGGCCTGTGCATCTCTGTGGGACACATGCTGCCTCTTGTCCGCCTCAGCCTCCAGCGCCTCTGCCCCGTCCTGAGCCTGACCCACCAGGGTGTCGCGACTCACCCCCGCTACTTGTGCCACTCGTTCCCTATTCGCGCCGGGCATGACCGCCTCCACCACGGGCCCTGGCACAGCTCTCTCCCGGTTCATAGCGTCACTGTGATTGTCCCATAAATTCACGATCCAAACTGGAAACCGCTCAACAGAAAAACTAACGAATGTTCAGATGTAGAGTTCAGGAGCCATGCGTGAAGAAGTGTCCCGTGATGCAGCGCAGACTAAACTTTCCCATGCAGACAAGCCAAACGGAGATATAAGAGATGGTCCACATTCACTCTTCATCCTCTGCAGACTTGGCTCCACGTCTGTCCTCCTCCGGTGACCTGGTGCGCTCCGAGTGCAGCGGTTTTCGCGCGCGGACCGTGTTTGTGACAGTTGTAGGCGGGACGAGCCCAATGTGATGGTGAGAGGCTGCGCTCTGCTTCTACCCCCTCTCTCTCTCTCTCTCCCTCCCACCCACTTGCGTTTTTCAGTGTCTCCCTAATAAACGCCTGGACCCTCTCTGCACTTTGCACCTTATAGGATTTTGCCACTTGAAGACCCCCTATGTTTAGGCCAATGACTTTGGTATGAATCTAACTTCCACATGTGTCATCTTGAGTAAAGTGAGCACCTCAAGTGGGACAAGTTCCGTGAATTGGCGGGAGCGGGACGCATCGACACAAATATGATAAGCCTACAGGCTGGAAAATAAAAACGATTTGAATTCGCTCTCTGCTTTGTGTTTTTATTTCCTCTGAACTATGACACCTGAATGAGCTGTTCAATCCAAACAAGTTGGAGATGGATACATGTCTGCTTCCCTGCCCTTTGGCAACTACATCAAATTAGGGATACAAAGGTGGGACAAGACACGGCGCAGAAACCCTTTTTTTTTTTTACCAATCAGAACACGCACACGCACATGCCATTTTACAAAGACAGAACAATAAAACAAATGTGTTTTCATTTTAATTTTCATTCATTTGATTGTGTACATTTCACTTGTTTATTTCATTGGCATAGATAAAAAAGAACATTCTCTTGGTAAACTGTAGAGGCCCAAATGTTGGTATGAAAAGCTCAGATGATGGGTGTCGCTTACGGCCTGAAGCCGCCTCAGAGTGTCGCCCTGGTCCCCACAGTGGCCGTGCACAAGGTTAACTACTGTGTGTAATTGATGTGTAGCAGAAGCGCGTACTCCGCTTTACCACGAGGCCATCTGCATGAACGCGACCCTTATCTTTACTGCAGATTCCAGGGTAGGCCGCCTCCTCCTCAAAACTCAATTACGGCCTGAATAAAGTCGGTAATGTCCCCGCTGCGGTGAAATATTGATTCCTAATCCGTGGCAGTCATTACTATGCCAGAAAATAATAGACCACAGAATTGGATTTTGATTTAACACGCGACGTGTTTATTCTAATGCGCGGGACTTAATATTCCAGAGACTCGAGTTTGAGCTGCGGACCAAAGGGATCTGTGACGTCACACAGACAGAAATTAAAAAAGAGGCGAGACACGGGACATCCTTCCTGTCCTCCTCCATGCGCGTGCACAAGGTCAGCTCCATGTAATTGGTTTGCTCAATGATCCTTAAGAGCAAGAAATTAAAAGTTGGGCAAAATAATGACTGAAACAATGAGACATGATTAGCCAATCAGAGAGCCCCGCTATTACAAGGCCTTTGATCTACTTCTGCCTCTAAAAAGGACTCTGGCTTTATGGCTTTATTTTAAATGAAGCCATATATTCACTTTATTAAACATCACAGCAGCATTCTCCTCCGGAAATATTAGTATTAGACCTGTTAAAGAGAGATACAGCATATAAGGCATGAGGAGCTTGTTTAAATGTCTTGATGTTGTTTTGCTTGACCTCCAAATACACATTTGTTTATTATTTAGTAATGGTTTTCCAGTGGGACCTGTATCACAGGACTGTGTCCTCAGCACTGACTCTCTCCCCTCTGTGTGAAAGCACGGTGCGTCTTGTGTCTATAATTATTCTAATGAAGGTTAACGAGCTCTACTCAGCCTCCTCTTTATTAAATTAATGTGAGCGAGTAATGAATCATAATTACTATAATTAGCAGCTGGAGCTGCTGATCGCACAGTGGCTGCTCAGAGGACCCTCCTGTTCAGACAACACATATTAACACATCGGACTTGTCAAAGTGACACATGCAAGCTTGTGAAAGCACTTTTTCCCTTTTTAGTGATTATCTATTATTTTATTGGATGAGTACATTACAAAACATTTCAGAAGTGTAATGTTCTGTTTTTGTTCCCAATTTAATGCTCGTTTGAGTATTTTGATCTTCTTGCTTTTTTCCAGCAGTCACAGCCTTGCACCTCCTCCACTCTCCCTCACTCTGAGATAGCATCTGACCTGGAGAATTAATTAAATATGATAGCTGATTAAAAATAGCATAACTAATAGTGTAATATCTCAAGCTGTCGTTTTTAATAGTCAACATTGTATGTGTGTGTCTTATCTGGCGCAGACAGACGCTCTCACTATTGATTCCTGTTCATTGCAGTTGTCAGGCCGGGCTCTCGGCTCATCTGGAATCATTAAACTCTACGGTCGCCACATCTCTGTCTCACTCCGTCTTCTGTGGACCGTGTCTGCGTGTCCCACTGTCCTCTGCTCGTCACATTATCACACATTCATCACTCATAGCGTGATATGATTTCCCTTTTCCGATCAAACGGCGGAATCAACAAGGGAACACTTCAGGTGCAATTCCAGCAACTTGGTTGTTTCAATTTATATTAAATAAATGTCCATCCATCCATCCATTTTCTTCCCCTTAATCCATTTCTGGGTCGGGGGGTTGGCAGTCAGAGCTGCACCCAGTCACAGAGCACCAGCCCCTCACTGATCCTCCTGCAGGTGGTGAGTCCACAGGAGCTGAGATCTTTCAGCGGGAGCTTCAGGCAAAGTGGGGTTTAGTGTCTTGCCCAAGGACACAACGACAGCAGTCATCAGTGTGAGTATTAAATAAATGTTGTTTTTATTAATTGGTCGTTTGGTGAAAAGCCTTTCCTGGCTCTGGATTGTGCTCTGGATTGACAGGTGACCAGCGCAGCCAAAGCTCCTGATTGGAGGTCGTCGTGGCAGTCTCCGTGGTAACCCTGGGTCAAAGTGTTCCGACGAAGCTTGATGACTTTTTATTGGTGGAAGTCACAGCTCAGTGATCAGCGTGTGTGTTCCTCTTTGCAGCAGTAAAGTGTTCAAAGGCACAGTTTGTCACAGAGAAACCAGAGGATTATCTTTCAGCAACAGCAGAGATTTTGTAAAATGCACTTCCATCATTCGTAGAACTCTCAACATCAAAATCTGAATTGCATGAGTTTGTTTAAATATGAGCGCTACTGCTCCGGGAAAAACAGGTAATTATAACAGCTAATAATAGAACAATTGCATTATCAATAAACTATGTAGTTTACAGGTACATGAACTTCACACGTATATATTTATATGTATATAATATCAAAAGATATCAGGGCATGGCCTGGCTGCACTGTGATGGGAGACCTCTGGGAACACCAGGTGCCACAGTGGGGCAACTGCGACTGTAAAGTGCCAAACTGTCGTGTGCTTACCAAGACACCTCACCCGCATAGCCTAGAATGAGTCTCTGTGTGAATCGTTGGTGGTGGTCAGAGGGGCTGAAAATACTGGTTGCCTCGCTTCTGTCAGTCTGCCCCAGGGTAGGCAATAGTAGTTCATCACCACCATGTAAGGGGCGAATTAATTATGTAAAGCATGTAAAGCATCTTTGAGTGTCTAAAAAAGTGCAATATAAAATATCAATTCATTATAGATACTTAGATAATAGAGCTTTAGAAAAGTTCAGCTCCACAAGTTATTATGGTAGATTAAGAGTCTAATTAAAATGCTGTTGATACATCCATCCATCCATCCATTTTCTTCCCCTTATTCCATTTCTGGGTCCGGGGGGTGGCAGTCAGAGCTGCACCCAGTACACATAGCACCAGCCCCTCAGTTTTTGATTCAGTAATGTGATAATTGTTCACTTAACTTGTGCCGTGTGCTCCTCTTTGCAAGATGCAAGTTTCCCCACTGTGGGACAAATAAAGTATCTCTTAATCTTAATCTATGTGCCAAACTATTGTTGTGTCCTTTGGCGAGATACTTCACCCACAAATACATTTGGATGAACGGTGGTGGTCAAAGGGGCCGATGGCTCAGATCATCAGCCTTGCATTAATCAATCTATCCCAGGGCAGCTATGGCTCCTAGTACCACCACAGGGTTCACTGAGTGAATGGATAATGCCATAGGTCTTTGAGTGTCCTAAAAAGAAGAATCTAAAACTGATGCATTATTATTGTATCAAATGGCTTCAATACATGGATTTATTTGTCCTGCTGAAGCATCAAATCATTTCAGAACATAGACAGTGCATGAAAGTTTATACAGATGACTTTTTAATATCACAGACTGCACCAAAACAACACAACATCACTGGATCAGCTGTCCACTTTAAAATGTGAACCCATTCGGTGTCGCGTGCGTCTTCAGGGCTAAACACAGCAGCTCATTCTCCAGTATCACCACACAATAGCCATGATATCTCCTGCTCACAGCCCCCAATGCGAACAAGTGAGCGTGAGGGTGTCAGTGATTGGTTTCTGTTTTATGGACTGGCCAGCAGAGTGCTAGTAATCCGTAGAAATAAATCTGCTTTATTTGACCTTAGTGTTAACTCCAATAAAATACACTTTACTGCTGGCAAACGCAGGCGCACAGGCCTGCATCATCGCGCACTCCTCGTGTATCAGGTCATTGCCGTTGCCACTTGACAGCATTTATAAGGACATTCTCTGCATTGTGTCCACTCACTTCAGGACCTACTGCCCTTTAACTGAGCGACAATGCAGCCATGACTTATTTCATTATAAGGCTTCCAGAAAGTCTATTTTCTTACTTCATACGATGCTGGATTATTTCCAAATCGTATCTTCATGCAGTTGTACATAAACGATATAGCATTGCTGTTCGATGGCGTGGCAAACCTTTGCACGTATCTGTCCGTTTTTTGGAAAATTATTATGTGAAAATGTAGCTCATCTATTGTTTGTTGGCGTTTAAAAGCATGTTCAGCCCTAATTTAACACTCATGGGTTCTGTTTCTTACCCAAAAAAATCAGGTGGTATTTAGAGAGGCTTTATAAGCAGTGGTTGCTAGACTGAGACCCATCTTCTATTATTGATGCTTGGCTTGTCAGGACTTCCGGATTTATGACTGTAAGGACTTTTCATACTCCTTAAAACCAACAAATAACTAATAGTAGCTTTGTAATAGTTTCACCTTTTCAACAAGACTTTATGAACGAGACGTGTGTTATTTTTGATCATACAGACCAACGGAGACCAGCGGAGACCAATGTTACAGCAAAGTTCTCATCTGTAGATTTCAGCCCTGATTATCATTGGTAATCTTGTTCCTGTCACTTCTAATTTCACTGAAGAAAGACTCGCTCTGCTCATAATTAGAACTGCTCTGAGGTCGGAGCAATGGGATAATTACCTCTCATTCTCGACAATTATCAAAACATAAGAGTCACATCAACTCTTATTTCAAAAACTATAATTTCACAAAACAGATAATTACTTAGACCTAAGTTATTTTCATTATCGACATTGATATAAAATTCACATTTCTATCGGGAAAACACATTTTGTTTCATTTTCCCATGAAGCACTGTCCATGGTGCTGAAACTGTATTGCAGCAAACACACTCTGAATAGTTGGATGTAAAGTATGTAATGCCTTTATCTGATGTAAACAAGCCATGAAAGCCTGGATTATCTCTCGAAACTGGATGTATCTATTTCTCTAAGCCTTTGAATTTAACAGATAGGCATCTGCATTGTTCCAGACCAAACAAGGACTTAATAACTCTCACTCACAGCAGTTTGTTATGGCTCCCCCTCTGAGCTATGCTTTCTGGATTCTCTAAGTCAACCTTTCTTTGCACATTTAGTTAAAGGTATCACAGAGCAAATGAAGTAGTATTCGGCTTGATTTGATAACACTTGGCCTGTAAGACAAGTATACTGTAAAATATTAACCAAAGACCGAACAGTTTAATTGGCCATTGAGCTCGAACTGTGAAACAAACAGCCGGTTCCAGCATTTATTCACTTTTTTGATAACATTTTTGCAGTGGACGTAATAGGTCAAAGCAAAATAAGTAGCGTACAACTTAAGAGCGTTTGATGTTCTTATGTTTCATGCAGTTTTTCAGGCTGTGAGAGTGTGCAGTGTGACAGACACGCGGCCTGTGTTTTACTGTGTGGGTTAGTGGAAGGGGCAGGGGGAGGGGTCATAAACAGCCGAGTGGATACATTGTGTTGTGCAGATAAAAGATTCCAGTGGACAGATCAATAGGCCATATCAGCCCGCTGTTAAATTACAGATAACACTATTTGCTTTATTAGCTTTTTCCCTGCTGCAGCACACATGCTATATTCCACGCCTGGAGCTCTGACGGCATCCTTGTGTGCGCATATGCAAAGACCAAAACATACAACTGGACACAATCTGAGCCTAAAGGTCAGAGGAAACAATCTTAAAAGCTAATTGTATGGAAAACATAGGATTATTTGGGGGTGAAGACAGCCGGAAATGTTGATGAAATTAGCATTCTATTTCAAGCAAACAATTACTTAAAAGAGACTCTGATGTCACTTTGGACACATAAAAACACTGTAATGCGAGTCAATAAAGCTCACAGTGTTTGAAGGACCAGTTTCTTTCACTGGTACAGGCTGCATATCACTCAAGTGCACAGGGAATGAGCGGCCGATGCAGGAGGGCCTGAGGACAGTGGTGATGATCCAGGACTTTTAAGGACATTTATGGACATTGGTCATTCACCCCCTATGGACCCAGGGCTCTATGTGTTTGTTTTTATGCTGCAAAAAATTACATTCTGACAAGATTTGCCAAAGGGACAAAGCCATCTAGTCTAATTTCAAGAACTGTTGAAACTCATTCCAAGGAAAACATTTTTAAATTGTCTTTTTAAATTAAGATTTTTTTCCCTGGCCCATTGCCAAATCCTGTTTTAAGGCATCAAAAGGTGCTCAAATAGATACATTTAGCCATTTTGAAGTGATTGCCTTTTCTGTGTTTGAACTCTTTGATTCTCTGATCTGCGTTGGCGAATTGACAACTTTGTAAAGTCATCCGCGGTGACGACTGATGTGATTTAGAACTAGACAAAAATAAACTGAATTCAATTGAACTAGTTTGACAAATATCCAATTGACATAAAGAATAAAGAATTGAATACATCTAAATCAATGTAAAAATGTAAATGTTAAAAGCTAAGCCGTAGGAAACCACATCATAACACTATGGTCAATCTTACATATAATTTCACAAACAGTGATGAGAAAAATCTTTTACACGTGTCTTAAAAACGATCTCATGCTTTCATAATTATGTTTGCTCTGTCTTTCTTTCAATCCATCATAGAATTAAACATGGAGCAGAACGAGTAAAACGGCCAATAAATCCATGTTCATCAGGCAGTGTGTGCGGCAATTACATCTCCTTTATGGCAGCTCGGTTGCATGCAGCTACCACAAACCTTTTGTTAATTGAGATCATCCCATTAACACTAATTAACAATTAGCATAAACATAATTAGT